CCAGGTGAAAGAGCATTTTTTGGGGCAACACATTTATAGCTCTGGGACAGAAAAGAGCTTTTAAAACTCCTTGTGTAGGATGCATCATGACCTCATATATGTTGTCATGCCTCAAAATCCTAAGTTCTTTCACTGACTTTTTAGCCATGTGATTCACCACCCTTTTCAGGACCTTTTGGTCCCCCACACCCCAGGTACACCTGACACCGCTGGGCAATTGTGAAAAACCAGCAAGGTAACTCACTTGTGTGCACCTTGTCCTGGGTTAGTTACAGAATTTGAGTAAAACCAGTGTTGAGTGTCCTGCTCTGTGACAGCTGCAATGGTTTCTAGATAAAGAAAATTATGTAATTGCTAATGGGCAAATGAACAAAATGGACAAATGGACAAAACCAAACCTGCTGGTCAGAAGGTCCTGTAGGTTCAGGGGATGGGGTTAGATGGATGGGATGGGGTTAGATTTCCTGATAGCTGTGCTCATGGTGCTGTGCTTTTCTAGGGGAATGGTGCTGGTAACCCACCTGGTTTAAGCTGCTGCCAAGCTGTGTTTGAACAGCACCACCTTTAGTCCACCCACCCTGAGGCTCTTAGGCTGGGGGTGGGCAAAGGGTTGGAATAGGACATCACCAGGACACCTGATTAAGCTGACCTAAGATATAGTCCATACTGTGTCACTTATTGCTCAGCAATAAAAACCAAGAGAAAGGAGGAGCTGGGGGCCACATTAATTTTTAAAAGGTTTGTCTTATGGAACAAGCATTACATGTTCTGAGGCCCTGCTTCCCAGAAAGCAGCTGACTATCACATGATGATGGGAAGTAGAGAATAAATATTTTTTGTTGTCCTTTGCTTTCATGTGCTACCTTTGCTTTGCTTTATTAAATTGTCACAGTCTCAGAGATCCATGAATTTTCATTAATATTTTATTCACCCTGTCTCACTGAGTAGGGGGAGAGATGGAGCTTCTTGGTGGGTGCCAAGGTCAACCACCACAGTACAGAACTGCCCTTCAGGTGAGTCAAACCTTTGGTTCCTCACCCTGAAGTGAAAGGTGCTAACAAGGCAGATCTGCACAGCTGGGAAAACTTGGCACCTGTGCAGGCATTTCAGGTGGCAGAATGTGCACAGGAAATGATGGTGAAGTAAACAATGACATCAGCTCAAAATCTTGAACACTGTCTGTATATTGGGCATCTTTGAAAGAAGAGCCTGCTCCTCATGGTTCCTTTCCAACTATTCCTAAAGTGAAAAAGCAGGCACTTAAAAATTCTGGGGCTTGGCAGAGGTTTCTTCAGGATGTGGTAATGTACATGTGGAAAGATTAAGACAGAGCTGTGAAGGCTATGTGCCTGCAGGACAGCAAATGATGGAGTGAACACTGCCTTGCACTCAGTGAGATGCTCTGTGCTACACCTTAAACAGCTCTTTATCCAGGTGAAGAAGGTGAAGAGTAGATGTGAAAAACTGTTCTAATTTACACTAGAAGAGCAGAGAGTGAAAAATCAAATGCCATCTTAGGGGTGTAACATTTGTGTGCTCAGAGGCCACATGGTACAATTTGTGAACCTGGATTAAGGCCTGGCAGCTGCCCCTGAACTCCATCAGCATGATAAAAGCAATAATCATCCAACTTGAATAAATGACAACAAAATCTGGTGCTGACAGATATCATACATGTGTGCTGATTTCCTTTTTTTTTTTTTTTTTTTTTTTTTTTGTGGTGGTTTTGTGCGTACAAACCAAAGAAATCCCTTTGCTATTTATTTCCATTTGGACAAAATATCTCCCACTTACTGTTCATATGAGAGCAGCTTTGTCAGCCTTGTGCCTCCTACAAGAAATTGCTTCACCCTTGAAGTCTTGGTGGGGGGTCAGTATTCCCATCTTGTCTCAAAAGACCTGAAAGAAGTGAACTTTGTATTTTAACAATGGAGGTGGCAAGCTTTACCTGTGGAAGAAAGTTCAGTGAAAGAAAGTTCCAGAACATGTCCCAGGTGCTTCTGCCTCCCAGCAAAGTGTCAAGTGACTGGGGCAGCCTGTTAGAGAGACCATGTCATTACCAGAGTCTGCACAGCCACTGGAGAAAGCTGCTCAGAGATGGCATCAGCAAAAGCCTTGAACTCAGACAAAGCATGTGGAGTTTTAAAAATTTTGTTTTAGTTTGGTTTCTGGTATTGTTTTTTGTTTTCTTGGGGGTTTTTTTGTTTGTTGTTGTTGTTGTTGTTGCTGTTGTTGTAGGTTTTTTTTGGTCTTTTTTTGTGTGTGTGTGTGTGTGCTTTTTGCAGGGTTTGGGGTTTTTTTTTTTTTTGGTTTTTTTTGGGATTTTTTGTTTGGTTGGTTTTTTTGTTCGTTTGTTTGCGTTTTTTTGGGGTTGGGTTTTTGTTTTTTGTTTGGCTTTTTTTGGTGAAGAAAGAGGGAGAGAGAAATGGAGTAGATAAACATGTTTTCAAAAACAACCCCAGGAATGTTCAAATAACTTTTCAGCTGTCTAACTTATACAATGTAGCTGGTTTGCTTCTCCTGAGTAAATGTTCACAAAAGTATATGTTCATGCTTACACATAGGCAAAATGACTTGCTAGAAATAGAAAAATTTATTCTTCATCCTCACACTACTGTCTAAAACAGCTTTATTCTTTCTCTTCTCAAGTTTGTGTCTCTAAATATTTAGGGGAAATATTATTCAAAGGAAATGTTTGATTTTAGTTAACCTTAAATCTTTGTGTGGTGGAAAACAGGCTATCTGCCTGTGTTCTGTTACATCTTGGACTTTTGCTCACAAAAATTATTCCCTCACAAGTAGAAACAAATGAAAGTTTTTCATAGGATTTAAATTACTAGGAATAATCATTTAAGCATACCTTCTGTATTTCAGAGTACTGGAGTAAGTAAAACATGATTTATCATGGGTTTGTGTTTTGTGGCTTGCTGATTTTGCTTGTGGTTAGAAGACCAGAAGGCTTCAGGCACTGCTTGAAGCTTTTGCTGCATTTTAAGTTTTTAAAAAGTGATTTTGCTCACACAAAGTTTGAAGTTTGAAATATCTTCTGGATACACACCTGTGAAAAACACAGAAAAGCAGTGAATCCATCTACCCACAGGTTGTGCTGTCCCAAAGAACAGTGAAGTGATGGATAAAATTGAAAACCCTCTGTCCAGCAAAAATAATGCTCCCCTCCCCTCTGCTTCTCACATTGCGCAGCAGATGATAGCCATGCTGTTCCAGCAGTCAGGAAAATGCAGAATTGTTGAGATTATACTGTGCTCCTTTTGAGAGGACATGATTCTGCATATCCTACAAGAGGAGGAATTTGAATTTGCTATTTGGAAGGCAGCAAGTGAAAATCAATCTTGCACTGTTCAACACCAAACAAATCTTTCCACTCAGATGCTGCACAGTTAAACTGAAGTCAGTGCATGGGTATTTTATCCTTTTGTAATATGGTATCTGCTGTCAAATTACTTTCACTTGACTGAAATCAGATTTCATTCAAAAACCTTTGGAGATGATAGCAGGATTCCCCTTGGCTTTGGTCTGCCTCAGACAAAAGTCCTTACAAAGGAAATATAAACAGCCTATAAGCTAAAGTTGGGAAGTGATGCAGCAGACAAAGCACCAGGTGTATATGAGCATTTGTGTTCCCTATGATCCACAGTAATTCACAGCAGTCATATTCCCTTCCCTTGTTTTATTTATGTTTAAAGTAATTTTAGGTAACAAAAAACATTTGCCTTCATAATGCCAGCAGCTGATAAAATAGGATGGCATTTTATTAAGAATACAAGCCAGAAAGATTGCTTTGATTTCTGGTGTGAAACATGTTAATTGAAATGAAAACTGCAGTACTGCACAAGTTCAAGAATACTGTTGCACTTATTTTTAGCAGTTTTGGGGGTTTTGATGATTTTTGGGGGGGGGGAGGGGGCATATTAACATATTAACAAAACAATGTGAAAACCAGGAAAGGCATCTTCTGCAGTATTGGTAGAAGGACAAATTCTTCAATCTGCAGTGGGTGAATTGTAGTGTGTTGAAGAATGGTCTGTGGTCATTCTGTCATCATACATTTACATCAAAGCATCAGTAGGATGTCAATTATTTTGAAAATGTATGCTACTACCTCTGGGTGTCTGCACTGACTTTGTCAATAACACCTGTTCCAGGAACACCTTTACTTGTGCTGCACCTATTTGTATGTGAAGATAGCTCAGCAGTCTTATGAAATTTGAGACCTTGTTTCAGATTACTGTGTGTCACAAGGCTGGAAATTATTTATTGTCATTCAGCTGAGAAGTTTTAAAAAAATTAGGACATTACAGGACTGTGGATTTTTCACCTCATTGTTATGTGAAAGGAAATAATTAACTTAGAAATAAGTCATAGAACATTATATTGTTACTTATTTTTTTTCTGTGAACCAAAACTAGGACATTTTATAGTCTCTTAAGCCAAAGTTATCTTTGTGTCAGCACTTACCACATAAAGTTGCTGTATGCCTGAGTCATAAATTGAATGTTTAAAAAGATCATTTTAATTAAGTATCATGACCTTAAAGTTGGTTTTTATCCAATAACCTAGGTTCTTGGACACACGGACACAGTGGATGTAACAGGAAGGAAAATCCCTTAAATTAAGCTGTGTTAATGTGCTTTCTAGATCCCTTTTTCCATAGTGTTTTTGTGCCCATATAGATTGTCTATAGAGATGCAGAGAAGCTGTAGTTATGGGATGGACTGTGGTGATGCATCTCTCTCCCCCTCCTGTGGCTGCACTCTGAGAAGTGCTCATTAAACTTTGGCCTTGACAAACTGCAGCTTGACTAAGCCTCTCTTGAGCTTATCAGAAACACTGTCTGTTCCCAGGAACTAACAGGTGTCTAAGGGGGACCTGTTTTTTAACAAACAACCTTGGAAACTAATTTTTCTTGCCTGAATAACAGCTTAAGCAGAATTATATTTCTGTTACTGAACTTTCAAAGAAACTTGAGTTGTGGCCAGGGTATAAAACTCCATAACTAAAGCCCGCTCTTTTGGGACCCTCTAAACAAGGGTTCAAAGTGAGATCTTTTTGAGTTCTCGATTCCCTGAAGATAAGGGGGTAATATGTGTATCTCAAACACCGATAACCAGATGGCTGTGGTGGAAACCAAGGTCAGTTGGAAATAACAGACAAGAATTGTTGGGAATAACCAAGGATTGTTGTTATTAACACGGCCATGAGAAAGATCAGGTTTTGGCTGCAGAAGGGGGGCCAAGCAGAGATAGGGCATTTTTCTGTTACAAACAACCACAACACAGCACAGCGCAAACGCAGGAATGAGTGGCAGGGAGGGGGCATGGACTATAGGGTGGGATTAAGAGCCCCAAAGACCCCCAGAGCCCTCCAACCCATTTCCAGAAAGGTCTGAAAGAACGGACTGCGCATGAGAACTAATTTACATGGAAAGTGAGAAACCCATCTTTGGGGTGGGGAAACCTGCCTATAAATGCCCAGGCAACATCCTCAGAACCCTGGACATCTCATCAACTAGACCAAGACAGCTGCATTGGCTCTGAAACCAGGATCAACATCCCATCAGCTGGATCGGTGCTGAGATCAGGATCGACATCCCATCAGCTGGATCAGCGCTGGAACCAAGGCTGGAAAGGTCCTTGGTTTTTTTTCCTTTCTCTTTTGCTCATTTTAATTCATCCCTCCCTCTTTCTCTCTTCCCTTTCACCTTATGCCTTTATCTAAAAATCACTGTAGTGTGCTTATGTAGTAGGTCAGGGACTACCATACCAATTTCCATGCCAGGTGTGTAACTTCCTAATAGAACTTTCTAATTGTTTCTAGACCCTTTGACTTTTGATATACTTTTCATATGGTAAGTTACAAATTTTAGGAGCTTCCTTCCCCTTAAGGGTGGGCCATCACAGACTCTATGCTGTTGTTGAAGGGGTCCCTTTGGGATATTACCACTCCACCCATGATTTCCAGGTAGCAAGTGCTGGAAAGTGGCTGTTAACAGCCAGGAGAAATCAGAGCAGCTGTAAGCCAAGACAGTCCAGGAAATGTCAGTGTTTGACTGCTTCTGGTTTTGCTAAAGTTGAGAGAATGAGCAAATGGAAATTGGTATAACCCTGAGGCTGAATTTAAACAGATAAATGTAGTGTTAAGTGACCAAAAGTTATGGAAGGAGAAAGATTAAGCATTTTGGCTGCACTTTTGGAAGCAGCTTTAACCACCACCCAAAAATACAGGTATGTCAACATTCAAGCGAAGGGGCTGCTCAGTGCTGAGCATGATCATGGAAAGGAGAGCAGGCTGCAGCAGAGACATTCCTCACTGTTGAATGTAGCCATATTAGCAGGCTTCAGGCAGAGCTTCAGGATGTGTGTGTGTGAGAGAGAAAATCTCATGGGGTGAATGCCAGGATTTAGAAACCTTTAGTGATGGTCAGGACCAGACAATTGTTACTGAAATTGTGTTCTTTATAGTGTCCAAGATAGCAAAGTTCCAGGAAAAGGATAGCAGACTCTCACAGGAATCTGAAACTGAATGTGCTTGGAAAGTGATGAAATTGATTGAATCAGATTGTCTGAGGCAGAGGGCTGAGAGGAACAGGAGTGTTTTTAATGGTGACCAGAGAGAACTGTGGTCCTTAGCTCAGAGGGCTGTCTGCTTGGGCAGGAGATTTGGATCCTTTAGAGAGGGATGACCCAGGTAAGGATAGAGACCCCAGCTATGGATCACGTGATGGAGAGTGCACAGGAGGCAGCAGGTTTGCAACTGATGAATGACAGATGGTTAGCTCTGGGACAACCCTCAGCTGTGTCACTGGTTGCCAATCGAAATATGATCTTTCTCATGGTTGGAGGTTTGATGGATGTGATAAAACACTTTGTGATACAACTACAACACTACTTGAGGAGAGCATTAACCACGCAGAGAAGTAGAAAAGGGGATCACGGAAAACATTTTATGTGGTGGGGGGGATAGTCCAGGAGCTAGTTGGCTGCAACAGCAGTCAGGAAATTGGAAATGCAGCAGGGAGGTGGACCTCCCAAACAGGTGCGCAAGGTCCTAGTGTCCAACAGAATGTGTTGTGTGTGGAAGGTTTGCAGAAGGGAGTTTCTCAGGAATGATGGATTAATTATCTGCTGCTGTTCTTCAGAAGGTAGTACAGTGCCTGGGGAAAAGGAAATTTGCACTCCCTTGCCATAGGTGGGATGAACAGGATGACACAGGAATTAGAACTCCACAGTGACCTGAGAGAATTATCATTCCTATGGCCTCACAGGATGGTGTTGTTAATCAGCAGCTGGGAAGTTACTTCTTGCTATCGTTAATAAGTGAACAAGGGAACAGCAGTTGGAAACATATAAGGTGACTCACCAAAAATAAAACTGACAGTAAATGAGCTATTAAAGACATTACCATTACTATTTGGTTTCTGAGAGAGAGACAGGAGATAAGTTGAGAATACAAGCTGACAAACTCATGACTGAGAATGATCATTTTAGGACTCTTCTTGCTTTGTCAGAATGTAAGGAAAGATAATTATTGAGGAATTTGGATAACCATAGTAGAAAGAAACAAGATCTGAAGAGGAAATAGAGGGGAGGAAAGCAGCTGAATTATAACTGTCATTGAAATTTGAGCAGCTGCAGAGCCATTGAAGGAAAAAAGGAAGAAAACACCCCAAAACTGGAAGAAAAGGTAGAGATGATGCTTAAGCAAGTTCCCAATTCGCCTAGCATTGTACAGATTCCAATTCAGGTGATTGTTTTGTCAGAGCATTATGTCCACAAACCAAATGATATTGAAATCTAGCAAGTGGAAATCTATCAAAGACTACATAATAATGGCTCAAACATTCAGATTACAATTGGTTCTCCTTAACAATTAACAACATTTCTAATAGAAACAGGAGCTCTACATTCCATATTAACACAGTGAGATGTCAAAAAGCTGAGTCTATGACCCAGATGGCAAAGAGTTAAAAACATCAAAGTAAACACAGCAAGTGTTACATGCCAAGTGCTAAGCTTAATTTACTGCTCCTGTGTGAGAAATATGCTGACTACTTGCTTTGCAATAACAGATCACAATATACATTTGTGTTTCAGTGGTCTGAACTATAGAACCTGGTGTTTGCTTGATGGCAAACATGGTACTTTGGTTCAAACATTAACCCCAACCCCAAAAGAAATTCAGACTGCAGTGTGCTTGCTCCATGCAGTGCCTGTATTCTCTGATACAATGATTGCTGATGTCCTGGATGTTTGCTGTGAAGCAAGCTGGGATTTCTGAAGTTCTGGCTGACCTGGTGCCACTAACAGCTGAGTACCCATTATTGCCAAAGTAAGAGGCACAAAAACAGCAGGTGCTTGGACACTTACAGGGTGGAAATAGATTTGGAGAAATGATGTACTACCACTCAGTCACACTCCCCTTCTAACTCTCCTGTTTGGTTTGGCTGGTGAAAAAACCAACTGACAGTTGTGGCTTACAGGTTTATTACAGAAAACTGAATGCCAATACTGTGCCTTTAATCACCACTCTGGTGTTTTGCGGAACTGGTAACTCAAATTCAGAGAGCATCCTGCTTATGGATGACAACTCTAATTGTAGGAAATCACCCTGAGCCCCAGAAAAGGTGAGGAACAACAGTGGAGGAAGCACTTTGTGGAGTAGAAGACAAGATTCCAAATGTGGGATGTCAAGGCCAAACTGGCCCTGATGGACCAGAGATCTTTACTACTCAATTCAACTGGGTTTAAAGAGACAAATCATATTCTGAGTGGGGAAAAGGACTTGTGTCATTAGTCCAAGCTGTTAAACAAACCTGGCTGAGGCTAGTATTGTCTCTTCCTAGGAATGATGTCAGCACATCCCTACTGAAGATTAGGTTAAGCATTGAAGGACAGCTTATCCTTCTTGCAGGTGTTATTACTGTCACCATGAACCAAATTTCCTTCACACATGAACAAGCATGAATAAGCTCAACCCACAGAGGAGAGACAGTTTCATTTATGCTAAGCAGTTTGGTACTCATAGTACATTTTACACCATAAATGTTTGTCAGCTGTGGGTGCAATTTATTGTGGCAGCAATTATAAAGGAGTTCAAAGCAATTTGTCCTCTGAAATTCAAAAGGTGAACTGGAATAACCCAGCTAAATTTGGAAGGAAGTTCCACTGTTGGTGGCAACTAGTCAATTTCACTTTAGACCTCACTAACATTAAAGTCACAGTTTTTGTTTTAGTAATAGGCAATCCTTTGGAATATGTCATATGCCCAATCATTGTGCCAGGATTAAATCACAGGGGAGGTACATTCTATCCCCTGGAGGATAGAGTGTGTTCTGATGGAATGGATGAGAATTCGTCCTGAATGAGAACTTCTTGTTATTTTGTACTTGTAGACAACCTTATTGTAGATGCAAGTAATTAATCTAACATTTATGTTCATAAATTAGTTCAAATTAAGGGTCACAGTTGTAATTATTGACCTCCAGTTACCTCTCACCATTTGCTGAAATCCGTCTATGTCCTGTTCCCAGCCTAACAACCTGTTCCTGTTGGCATGAATCTCATGTTGGTAAAGAAGCTGCCACATTACAACCTGAGACAGCTGTTGAAGCAAGCACAAGACAAAGAAAAGAAGTCTGGTTCTGTTCATCACAATGTGAAAGGCAGCCACTGAGTGATGGAACAAGTGAAGATAGACGAGGAACACCACTGGTGGGACATTTTATTTGAGTCATTGCCAATAGCAGCAAGGATTTTTAACAAAATGTTGCACCTTTTGCTTGTCTTTTTGATGTTAGTCATTCTCTTTTTCATTTTAGTAGGAGGTTTGCACATTGTATAGAATTAGAGATTACCCCCAATGCTTAGAAACAGCTTATAGACTGTATTTGTCCCTCTATTCTTCTGTCCCTCTCCCTCTCTCTCTTCTTTTCCTATTTCCAGCAATCACCAAGTCCATATCAAAATCTGAGCCATAGGGTGTAGTGTAGAAGCCCCATAAGTTTGCTGTTCCAGTGTGGAATGTGCCTTTTGTTTTTGTGGGGGTTTTTTTTGGTTTTTTTTTTTTTAGAAGGCAGCAGTGATGGGCCTAAGAGTTTATGGGTTGAGTTTCCTGGAGTCACTTCCCACCAGATGCTGTATTGTCAAAGCTCTCTGACCCTGTCAGGTACACCAGAGTCAGGGAGCAGTTGTGGGGGATATATCAGGTGCACAGTGCTCCCCAGGGACACACAACTGGCACACGGAGCAGCTGTGGGGTAAGTGGTTGTTAAGCCCAGCACATGTGCATTGCAGCAGATCCAGCACCTTCTCTGCATCATGGACATCCAGATGATGTAGTGCACATGGAGCTTGTTGCTTCCCAGGCCAGTCTGCTAGATTTCCAGCCACATTCCACAATCTCCCTTTCCCAGCATCGTATCCCACTGAGGTTTGTTGTAGATTTCCAGGAAACTGGAGGAAAAAATTTCCCATATGGCCTTAGGTGAAGAGGCATAGCAGTCCAGGGTTGCCTGGAGGAGCAGATGAATCTTCTGGAATATTTTCTTTGGTAAGCTCTGGGTGGGAAGACATTGAAGCTGAAGTTGTAGTGAAGATCTGGGCTGCACTCCCAACACATGTGGGACACCTTTGGGCCACTTCAGCACCAGTGCCCCGGGCTCCTGGAGGGTGAAGGGCAGGTGCCACAGCCCCTGCTGCCAGTCTGATTCCTTTGGAACCACTGGCAGCAGAACACAGGGATATTCCTCTTGAGCACCTGTCTTGTGGAAGTGCTACTCTTTCTGCTCTTCCAGGAGAGTTTTCTGGAATATTTCCCAGACCCAGAGCTTGGCCACATGGTCCACATGAACCCACAGATGCTTGTTCATTAAGATCAGGCAGGTCTTCATGACTTTCAGCTGCTCCCTCAGCACCCACTACCAGCCTTTGGCCCCACCACGCTCCCACCACCACTGCTCCTCTACCTACAGCCACCGCTTTTCATCTGCCTCAACTGTAGACTTGCACCTGCTCTGCTACAGCTCCATCTAAAATTCCAACAGCGCAAACTCCATGGAGCCCACCCAAATACTGTTGGCTGTTACCCTGGCATTCCTGCCCTTGCTGCTCCCTCTTGAGCCCCGCCAGGCACTGCTTCAGTTTCCCACTCCTTCTTCTCCATCTCCAGGTCCCCGAGACACTCATAGGCCCTCCACAGCAGCCCCTGCAAACCCTTCATTTGGCTCCACAGGTCCCAAAGGCGTTGTTGCAGGATGCCAGGAAGAGAAGGACCAGAATTACAGCAGTCTGAAGACAGGCATTCATACAGGTGTTTTTTAAATTTTAGCAGCTGGCCACTTCATTTAATATTGGACCCAGCAGCCTTGTTCCTCTGTCAGATAAACTGGTGGTAACTAGTTATGCTGGAACAACTCCACATCTGCCCAAATGCAAATATCTTGACTTGCAAAATGTGCAAAAACTGGAAACACTCTGTGTAAACTGAGTATAAGGAGGGAGTCTCTGCACCATATTGGCAAGAAACTGTTCTATGAAGAAAACCCATGCCGTTTTGTACTTTTAGGTACTGCCTGCAATTTATTCACCTCCTTGAAGGCAAATATTCACTCATCCAGTTGAACACATGACTTTTTGAGTACATCAAAAATTTCTCTGACTAAACACTTTTTCCACATGAACATCTTTTCCACCACAGAAATGTCAAATATGCCTTTGTAACTATATAGGCTGGACTGTCATCTGACAAATGCTCATTAGTCTTATAGAAATAAGCATCCACTATCAGGGGATGTGACTTTAACTATCCAGCTCCTGTCACAACACAGGAATTACTACACTTTACCTATACATACTGTTGAGATTTACTGCCTATCCCCTTTGAGATGAATTGTGCACTAGTGAAAAAAATCACTGCAGCAAGATGATCTGTGTCGACTACTGGAATGCACCCAGAGCAATGGACACAGAAACCCAAGTACAGAAAAGATACATAACATAGAAATGGTCTTGGAAAGAGTGATGAAAATTGGAGAGCATCACTAGTGGGACATTTGGTTTGGGTGGTCATCAGCTGCAACAAGAATTCTAGACACAATGTTGCACTTTATTGTAATTTTTGTGATTTATGTTGTATTATTCTTACTGTTGAATATAGTTCTATATGTTAGAGTGTGTATACTAGCTAGACATGTACTGCTGTCGCACAGACATCCTCACCTATAATATTGTTTTATCATGTTCAAAGCAATCTTTAAAAATCCCATTATTTAGGTAACCTGGTCAAGAATTTCCATCAACTTAAAATTGGAGCATGATACATTCTTGATTATAGGCACAGAGACAAGAGGTGACCAGACTGCCAATATGTCAGTTCCCAGGAACTACTGCTGTCTAATGAGCTCCAGTTTTTTGACCAACAGCCTTGGAAACTGTCATGGTTTGACTCTGGCACAATGCCAGTGCCTCCATGAAAATACACTTTCTCTAGTGGCTTCTGTGAGATGTGATCAGGAACAGAGCAAAGCAGGCTCCAACTTCTGGCCGGCCGTACTGCCAGTCCATGATATCGAATTTCACGGCAGCACAGGCACTGGCTCGCTCTCTCTCTCCCGGAGAGTATGAGATGGGGGGACCTGATGCCTCTCAGGGCTCCTCAGGGCTCCTTCCATCTTGCCAGGCCTTCACCCCACTCTTCTGCCCAAGGCTCCAGCCTACCTCACCCGGCCGCATGGCTTCCCTCCCCAGCCAGCCCCAGCTGGGCAGGGGAGCTCTGACCGGGACCAAGGGAGTTCTCCTGGGAGTTCTTGCTTTTAACCCCCTGGGTTCTCAGAGGCCGTCCATACCTTCAGTGGCCAAACCAGGTGCCAAAATTCAAATCCAAGCACTGATTGGTTTGACCACAACCTCCCAAAAAACTCACTTCCGTCTTAACCTAGGACAGAAACTTATTTTTCTTCCTGGGGGGGAAAAAAAAAATAAGAAAAGAGAAAGAAAGAAAAAAAATAACGAAAAAACAAGTGGGAAAACATTTTTGTTATTGAGCTTTTTAAGAAAGTAACTGGCCTCAATTGAGGTCAGGATGGAAAACTCCTATGACTAAAGCCCACTCTCCTGTGACATTATAAACAGTGGTCTAAAGTGAGACTCTTGGAGTTCTGCTCAGGGGCTGGACCACAGGGTCTATGATCAGCACCTCCCTCTGAGTGGGGCCTCTCAGAGCCAGAGAACACTCAAGCTTGCCAAATTTGGAGGACAAGCTCCAAACAACAATGATGATTTCTGAGCTCATACCCCACTCCTCAAGGTTCAACCTTGACCTCACTGAAAAGATGCAAAGGCATGAAAAGTGACTACTACACTGAATTCAAAGGGATTTTTTCACAGGTGTATCTTGAACAGACTGTATTTGTGTGCATGCAAGTGTGAAAATGCTGGAGCAAATACACAAGGAAGGTTGTTCCAGCTTAGTATTTTAGAATTAAGCCTGTAAGTTTTATAAATTCTATGTTCTATTCTATTTCTATAGTAAATTATATCCATTGCTAAGTAATTTAAGTTAGATTATCTATTGAGTGCCATTAAGTGTTAAATACTGTTAAGTGTTGTTAAGTTTAGGTTCTGTTAAGTGCTGTTAGGTTTAAGTGCTGTTAAATTTCATTTCTGTTAAGTGCTATTAAGTTTAAGTGAGGTTAGGTTCTGTTAAGTTTAAATTATGTTAGGTTTAAGGTTTGTTGATTTTAAAGTCTGTTAAGTTCTGTTAAGGTTAAGTTCTGTTAAATTTAAGTGATGTTATATGTTAGTTCTGTTGATTTCAAGTTCTGTTAAATTTAAGATCTGTTAAGGTTAAGCTCTGTTAAATTTAGGTGATACATATAAATTCTGTTAATTTAAAGTTCTGTTAGTTTTAAGGTCTGTTAAGATTAGGTTTTGTTAAGGTTAGGGTCTGTTAAATTTAAATTCTACTAACATTAAATTCTGTTAAGTTTAATTTCTGTTAAGTTTAAGTGAAGTTAAGTTAAAGTGATGTTAAGGTTAAGTTCTGTTAAGTTTAAGTATTTTAAGTTTAGGTGTTTTAAGTTTAAGTGCTATTAGGTTTAAGTGATACTAAGGTTAAGTACTGCTGGGTGTTTGGCATAAACTGTAGGCCTGGTCTGGGCCCAGTTTAACATGGGGATATACTCTGAACCTTGTGACCCAACACAAGGGGATTGCACATTTCTTTTTAACCTTACTACTTCCTATCCTCTTCTCTTCCCACTCCTTTCCACACCCCCACCCCCATCCTCGCACAGATGCCTAAAGAAGCCCCCTGGAACAGAGGCTAGAGAGAGTTGAAGAATAAAGTGGGTATTTATTAAATGGCCTTCAAGGATACACCTTAGGCAGTACAAGAGCTTGGCCAATGCCACACCCAAGATGGATGACCAGTCATCAGTCTTCACACTTTTATACGTTTTGGTCCATTTACATATTAGGATTAACTGTCCGATTACAGCTTCAGGTTATGAAGTCCCATCCTCCTGGTTTGCTGTCTTCAATTTTCCTTCTTTTGGCCCTGAAGCTGCAAGAATGTCCTTGATTCTCAGGCTGGAAATAAATAGTTTTGTCTAACTACACTGTGAAGAGAGCTTGTTAACACTTTATATGAAGTTCAGAGCTATATAGTAAAGCAATACAGAATCTGGAAAATATGAAAGTTAAAACTTAAGGCATTACCACCTCCCCTCTTACCCACCCTCCCCTGCCGCTTACTAGCCTTCACATAGGTAGTTTTAAATTGGCTTGAGATTTTTTTTGCTTTTTCCCTATGCTTTAACCATCTAGTAAGTACAGCGAATCTTGCCGACATGCTTTGTCATGCTTTCACTTCTATAATAAATCTGCTTTAGCAAATACTTTTGCTGGTGATCCTTTAAGTGACCTTAAAACACTCGTTCACAGCAACCTGTAAGGAGCTGGTACGGGGGTGACTTGGGCGTTCTCCTCACTAGTATCCATGGCCTAACTTTTGCGATCAAAGATAATTACTGGAAGCTGATGTGCTTGTAAGTGGACTGGAATAACCTGGACTCCACAGTTCTGTGCCATCAGTGGCACAGCCATGCCAAACGTCCCAGTGCCCACATTCATATTCATGTACACACACACACACACACACTCACTCTTAAAACACTTTCTTCTCATTTTGTCTTGGTGGCTGTCTCTTATTCTGGAAGAGCTCTGCAGATGTCCTGTGCCAAACACAAAATAATCTCTTACTTCAGGATGTAGCAAGTGTGAAAAATAACTGGCTGTGGCACAAAATTGTACGTGGGAAGTGCAATCAGCTCCCTTGCTGGAACTGATGAAATGACCATTTTCCCCCATCCAAGAGCTTTATTTCCAGAGGAAATCTAAACAAGATAGTTACATTTGGACAAGTGCAGTGAAGTCTCAGGAGTGACTGAGACAGACAAATGGATATTATATGCGAAGCTGAACTTGGGCTATGTATATCAGCAAATTGCTGATTATTAGTGATTATTAGAAGCATTATTAGTGGTTTTTCACCATTTATTGCAGGACTCTAAATGGATGACAAATTATTCTAAGACTTGGAGAATACTGTTATAATTTTAAGTAGCTTGCTCCAAACACATTAGATTTCATAGCTGGTGTACACTGTCAGAATAGTGCAGGTACTAGTTAATGTTCATTGCTCCTGTTCACCAACCACACATGCAAAGGACATAGGTTTTCCTGTAGGAGAAGAAAAGACACGAGGTTCTAGAAGGGAAGTCTCAATATGATATTAAGTCAAGTCAATATCATGTTATCTAGTGGAGATTTTTTTTCCACTCGGAGCATCAATAAGTGGCTATGACATTTTTTTCATGTTAGCTTTTCATTTATGTAAAAGGGACCAGCTGTTGGTTTATTTCTCTGAAGGAGCCCATAATGGAATTGCTGAAATATTTAAAGCATAAATGCACAAAATGCTATTTCAAACCTTAATATTGATGCATGTCTGCCACCAAAAATTCCAAGATGTTTCCCAAATGAAAAGTGGGATGAACATTTGTTAGCCTCATGAAAATGATTTTTGGAACATCTCCATTTTTGTTTAGGTTTCGGCTCTGGTGACAGATATTGAAGGGATCCTTATGTTTAATAGTAATGCTGGCTCTCATCCATTTCTTGCTAGCTGTGAAATTCACTGCATCTCAGCTGTAAATTCCATGACTGCTATAAGCTACAAGTACTTCTCAGAGTTACTAATCACTTAAATACCATGCTGCTGTTCCCTGTGCTTTTCACATTAAAGCAGGACTAAACTAAGCTGGAAATAAACAAAGCAGTCTCCCGTTATTAAAAAGACTGTGAAGAAAATAAGACTGTTAAATCAGTGAGAAACCTCATTTCTGAAAATGCAATATGTGCAACTCATGCCTGTGATAGAGCCATTTATTGTTCAAACTCCCTTTCATCGAGGGAAAATCGCATTATATGGCAATCTGTGTGCCATCAGAATATATTGCTGTGAGTAATGGCATGTGTATCGCTATGTGTATTGTACCACAGGGTTTTGGGTCACTCTGTACTATTCTACCCCCTCCTGATGAAAAAAAGCCCCTCGATAAAATATGCCAGTGGGCCAGATTGAATTGTGTTCTGCATGTGACCCCCAAAGGAAAGAAGGTCATGGGGCTGTTCAAGCTTCATTTCTGCACCTTTTAATGAGATTCTGAAAGGGCTGGGGAGGAGGGAAAGACCATTTGTCACTTTGGAAACAAAGGAAGAGGCAGCAGAAACAGAATCTGAATGCAAATGAGACATTTTCCCACTTGGGACAAGCTGATTTCCATATTAACTATTTTTTCTGTATTTGTTCAAATACATTTCCTTTGTTATTTGGTATACAGAAGCCAAATGATGGTAGTAAGTCAAATTTACACATTTTCTAAGGAAATACTGGTTTAATTATTTTTCACAGCATTTTGACTGTCATATCTTTAAACAAAACTGAAATCTGTCAGGCTTGATGACCTGTGCTCAGTGTGTGCTTTGTCTCTTACTTTGTCATCACATGGTGAAGAAAGGCAGATGAGGTGAGAAGAAAATATAAAAGTATTTTTAAAAATCCCTTTTATGTCACTGAAATTAGGCACAGTACTATTCTGGGATGTAGGTAATA